GGGGGGTCGTCTTATAATCAGGGTCGTCTTATATTCGGGCCAATACGGTAATTACATACCATAAAATAAACAATATAGCAAGATCTCTAACAAATGACACTTTATACCATTGTCACAATATAAACTGTCATACCACCCAACCCTAGATCCAACCCTACTAGTCACAGAATTAGAACTTGAAAGAGTTAAAACTTTCTTTACATTATGTGCTTGGATTTCTGAAGCAATTTACTCAAATGCCACAGTGTAAATGCGTTGTATAGTGAGAAGGTCTACCTGAAAAAAGGAGTTCTTTTACTCAAGTCATGTGAAACACTTTTAACACCAACAGTCTTAAGCCTCAATATGATGTTACCGGTCATGAGATCTGCACTTTGATCTCTCCTTGTCTTATTCGCTTTACCAACTTTGTTAAGATGCCAGACTAAACACTCTGATTTGGACAAAACAGCTTAAACGAACTGAGACACGACAAAATAAACTCAAGAAGATGTGTGTCTGTGAACCAGCGTCTGAGTGTGTGATAGAGTGAGCAATGCCTGTTGTGTAGTCCTGAGGGCATGTCTGGGTGAAAGTTAATGTGTGATTTTCAGAGAGAAAACAGAAAACATGTTTTCACCCGGTATATAGTTGCTCGGAGGCTCAATGCCCGCTGGGAATATGGTGTTCTCAGGGATGAAATCATCCAGTGGAGGGAAGTCTGTGGGGATGTCAGCATGCCGAGGAACCAGGACTGGAGGCAAAACTGAACACGCGCACACAAGAAAAAAAAAACTTAACTTAACTAATCAAATTAGTTTCATACACAAAACTGATTATGGAAGCAAACAGTCTTTGAATAACTAGAGGTAAAACACCAGTGGGGCTTACCTGGTGTCTCTACATGCTGGTAGTGGTAAGGGTTCACACACACCTCGTCCTTCTTCATATGGAAGGCAAACTCACACAAGTCTACAGCACGCAGCTCATGGTGGGACTGCAGGTCAGGCCAGCGCCATAGCCGGCAGTAGATCACATGGGGAAGGCCTTTTCTGTGAGATACTTGCAGACGGCCATCCAGAGACCTGCACAAACCGTTCAAGGAGACAATGAAACAACCGGTCCCATAAAAGTTACCACTTAACGCAAGAACCATTCTACCTTCTTTATCATAAAGCTATTGATGGATTGATTTGTAAAACAAATTCTGAAAATGAATGATTTTCATGATGATCAGTTTAGTCTGTTTTTCTACTTCTGCTGATGCTGAAAGAACAGTAAACATGGATCATGACTAGGAAAGTCCAATTCAAAAATGAATGATTATTATGAGCTGGTTCTTATTATTAATAATAAGCATCTTATTATTATTATTATTAGTCAAAAAGACTCATATTATCGGTTTGAATCAGTTTAATGAGTCATTTGCTCATTGAATCAGTAAACTTAAGCAGTTCTTCAGTGAACCCAAAGTCATAATTTAGAAATGTCCAATTCAAAACAAAAGCTAGTAAGCATTACTTTTTACATAGGGCTCATGAGATCTAAATCAGTGTAATTATTGATTTTGCATACTATAAAGTGCATTTAAAAGAACATATTCAAGAGATATTTATATTGAATATATACAGTATGTTTCCTAAGTATTACTAAAGTAGTAAATGAATCGTTAATGGCATTTTTAGTGAGACAAAATCTGAAACATTAATTCATTGGTTTTCTATTAACAAATGTTTCTAAAACATAATGTACCTTATTGCAATAATGTACAATGTTATTAACGTGAAAGCCCAATAAATCTTGCCCTGTGAGTCTTTTAATACATAGGCTTGCACTGGGTCAACCATTCATTTTTCGCAGAAGTCGGGATATTCAAATGGTGCAAAAGCCTCATTTAGTGGAAAGTGAATTAGGCCTTATTTTCAAACAGGGGGAGAGGTCACCGGCTGTGAGCAGAGAAAGCCACAGAAGAAAACATGAATCATCCTCATGGTATTGTGGTCTATGCATCATGACAGCCATTGCTAATGGATTTCAATGCATTAATGCATTTTCACCCTACATTGGGATTATCCTAATTCTTTAAAAATGCTCAGACTCAGGGGACTGACACAAGATGAACAGAGAAAGCAAGTGAGTGAATTTAGAGGAAATACCAGGCTTGAGTTCAGGAGGGGAAAGACGGCAAGGCAGAGCAGAGAGCAGACAGAGACGAGCGCCTGCACACTTTTCCTGTCTAATGTTTACCTATTCATTCAGCTATGCACCAGCAGTATGAATGCCAGCATTCTGCACTAGAAATATCCACTAGGAACAGATGACATCTGTAATCGCCAGACAGAACAAAAAACAAACCAAAACAGAAATTCATGTGCTGCCTATATCATCTTTTATGTAATATGTTTGGAAATAACACTTAAAAGTAGTGGTTGACTGAAATGGGTTTTATAATAGTGGATGCCTATTTCTAGAAGGGCTGGGCGATATGTCAAAAATATCTTATCGATAATCGCCTTTAAAAATATTGCGATATCCGATAATATCGTCTACCTAAGCCCCACCTCCACCACGCCCCGCCCCCGCCGAGACAACATTGCCGACATGCACCATAAACACACACCATGTTCACTTTGGTCTTAATTATTGCCACAAAGTTTGGTTTTACTTTTCTTAGTTTGTGCTTAACTAACAGAAAACATTAGCTTTGCTGTTATTTTGGTGTTGCTAATTATTTTCACTCTGTTCTTATCAAATTTGTGTTTGAAATGAATTTCGTTTTGTGAGGAGAACTGTTGAGGAAAAATAATAGAACCCAATTTTAAGTTCATCATGGTGAAGTTGGACATTCTGGCGGTGATTGTAAGAAAGATAAATGCATGTTGATGTCATATAATAATGTCTTGAATAAAATATGCTTATTTTCCAATGTTTCTCTTTCTTTTTGGCATTATCCAATTCAAAACAAAAGCTAGTAAGCATTACTTTTTACATAGGGCTCATGAGATCTAAATCAGTGTAATTATTGATTTTGCATACTATAAAGTGCATTTAAAAGAACATATTCAAGAGATATTTATATTGAATATATACAGTATGTTTCCTAAGTATTACTAAAGTAGTAAATGAATCGTTAATGGCATTTTTAGTGAGACAAAATCTGAAACATTAATTCATTGGTTTTCTATTAACAAATGTTTCTAAAACATAATGTACCTTATTGCAATAATGTACAATGTTATTAACGTGAAAGCCCAATAAATCTTGCCCTGTGAGTCTTTTAATACATAGGCTTGCACTGGGTCAACCATTCATTTTTCGCAGAAGTCGGGATATTCAAATGGTGCAAAAGCCTCATTTAGTGGAAAGTGAATTAGGCCTTATTTTCAAACAGGGGGAGAGGTCACCGGCTGTGAGCAGAGAAAGCCACAGAAGAAAACATGAATCATCCTCATGGTATTGTGGTCTATGCATCATGACAGCCATTGCTAATGGATTTCAATGCATTAATGCATTTTCACCCTACATTGGGATTATCCTAATTCTTTAAAAATGCTCAGACTCAGGGGACTGACACAAGATGAACAGAGAAAGCAAGTGAGTGAATTTAGAGGAAATACCAGGCTTGAGTTCAGGAGGGGAAAGACGGCAAGGCAGAGCAGAGAGCAGACAGAGACGAGCGCCTGCACACTTTTCCTGTCTAATGTTTACCTATTCATTCAGCTATGCACCAGCAGTATGAATGCCAGCATTCTGCACTAGAAATATCCACTAGGAACAGATGACATCTGTAATCGCCAGACAGAACAAAAAACAAAACAAAACAGAAATTCATGTGCTGCCTATATCATCTTTTATGTAATATGTTTGGAAATAACACTTAAAAGTAGTGGTTGACTGAAATGGGTTTTATAATAGTGGATGCCTATTTCTAGAAGGAAGCCAAGAGCAGCCGTCTTTCTATCCCACCCCCTCCTATACACACACTGCCTTGCTAAAATCAACACTGGAGTAACAACATGACCGAAACCAGAAATCAACAAAACAAATAAAAAATAAAATAAAAAGGGTGCCGGAGAGAGCTGAGGAGGGAAGACGTGTGCGTGTGGCTCACCAATAACCTCAGCTTTCCTCTTTAAGCAGCAGTGTTTGTTGTCTACTCTCCCACATATCTCACACAATCCGCATCTGTGGAGTCACACTAAATCCATTAGTCATCATCATGGCCCCTAAAAGGCCCCTGACCTCAATTCTAACCAGTTTTGCAACTGAATTTTTTAAATGTTGTACTTTTTTTTACATTGACTAATACATTTAGGGAAATTGTTCCATAACTGTCACCGTGCTAAATTACATTAAGAGACAGATCAGAAATTACACTAATAATTTCACAAATTTCACACACAGACGATAGCCCTTTATTAAAAGACATTTTCAGCAGTTAGCATGAATGTCTCACTTTGGTTAGAAGTTTTCAGAATATCTGCTCTGTTTGAATAAGCGAGTGGAGTAGGAAGTAGCATAACCTCAGAAACTCAGAGCCTGTGAGCAGGTGATGATTTCCTGCTCTTGCTCTGTTGCACACATGTGCAGTCTTCCCCTTGCCACCCAGATAGCCACTAATGCAGAGAAGATTTCATCAAGAAGAACAGAGAACAAAACAGTGTAGGTTACATCAGGACCTCACAGACCGTATGACACAGCTGAGTATATTCAAACCCGCCTAACGCCAACCTTTTACACTCAACCGCAATCCAGGGAACAACCCACACCCTCCTCCAGACCTTGCACTGCATTCTTGATCTTTGAATAACCATGCCACATAGTGTGTTGAATAAACACACTCTCAGCTGTGTTTAAAGTACTGAGAATGTCTGCCTGAGTGCAAGTGTGTGAACAATGTTTTGTGAGGATTGGCTTACAATATACAGATTTTGTCATAAAAAGGGTTGCTTGACAGCATTGAAGACAAGAGATGCAGCAAAGAAGCATAAACATTAATTTCCTGTGTGGAAGCTTCTTTAAAAGGGGCAGGATGTATGTGGTCAAACTGTAGAATACCAAAATTCAACAACACAAGTGCTTATATCAGGCACAGTATGATCCTGTCACACATCATTATGGATTATGGACTAGCATTTTAGCCAGTAGCGGCGATGGTTTAAAGTTAAAATTAGTGGTCGACCGATATATCGCCAAGGCCGCATCGGCCAAACAGAAAAACTTATCGGCCGATGACGATATTTGAAAAATGCCAAATATCGGCCGACAAGTTTTTCTGTTTGGCCGATGCGTTCGTAGCGGGACTTTTATTTTGACGGCGCTGAGAACGGCAGCGCCTAAACACACAGTGCTCACATTCTCCCTCTTGTTCACTGTCGTCGTTAACAGTTCTGTCTACGGATAGAAGTCTGTCTAATAATCAGATAGAACTGTTAAACAAAGCAACTAAAATGTATGCAAAAAAGTATGGTCAAAAAAACAATTTCGGTCGACCACTAGTTAAAATGCCTTAATGATGCAATTTTTTCTTACAAACACAGAGCTGGTCACTTCACAAGATGTTAACTGATGGACTGGAATCATGTGGATTATTGTGATGTTTTTATCAGCTGTTTGAACTCTCATTCTAACAGCACCCATTCACTGCAGAGGATCCATTGATGAGCAAGGGATGTAATGCCGAAATGTCTTCAAATCTGATGAAGAAACAAACTCATCTACATCTTGGATGGCCTGAGGGTGAGTACATCTTTAGTAAATTTTCATTTTTGGGTCAACTATTTTTTTAACTTTAGGCAAAAAATGCCTAATGGAGAACAAGCAAATAAGAAGGGATTCCAATGGAATACTAGTGGTAAGCAAGCACAGTGAAACGATTATGAAATTTCAACTGACCTGCCATAATCTCTGATCTATAAATATGGAAAACAGCTGGAAGACGAGATAAGATACGAACTTATACATTTTTCGCAGACTAAATTCTCCACTCAAAACTACACAGATGGTAATATGCACTTACGTGCTCAAGTACGTAACCCCATGCTCAAATGCCACTTGCTGATATCACAGCTATTTCACGAGTTCACACTTACATATAATTAGATGAAGTATAGTAATGCGTATTTGGCGTGCTGTCCGGGGAAGGGCTCCGAGCTCGGGAATGGCCCGAACCCAGAGTACTCCCCCCGTATAAGTGTAGTTAGAATTTGAAGTGAGGAGATGGGGCGGTGGAGGGATGCTGATAAACCGTCGATGGATAAAGGTAAGTCTGCTGTATTTATACCTCTTGGTGTTGATTAACTTGAGTGCGCTCCTCTTGTGTTAATTAGGCTAAGTATCTGACGTGCTCCTCCCAAACTTTGTTAATAAAACATAATTTCACGAGTTCACGCTTACATATAATTAGATGAAGTATAGTAATGCGTATTTGGCGTGCTGTCCGGGGAAGGGCTCCGAGCTCGGGAATGGCCCGAACCAGAGTACTCCCCAACAAGCAAATGAGAGAAGGATGGCCGCCAGAATAAGTTCTTTGCGTGAACATTTGGGCGGCGTTGTGCAAATCTTCCCACATCGTGACGTAGGTATGTGGGGGCGTGTTAGAACGAGCCGTTTTAGGTAGGCGTGGTTAACTCTTAACTTTTATAAAGAATATCTCTTTGGTTTTGAGACTTTAGTGTTTGCAACTTTACAGATCTTCTTTATGCACCAAGAGCTTGTAACACTCCAAAGAGAAAGGAAAAATTGAAATCGCATCATATGACCCCTTTAACTTCTACTGTTAATAAGATTTTAGTAGGCTACTATTAGATGGATAGCCTAAATGTCCTAATTCAGATGGGCTACCTGTTTTTTTTTTTTTAATGGTAAAAAAATTAAAAAGTGACACCACTTCACAAAAAAAAATTCAAGTGTACAGTTGTAGTTTCATTTTATTGCATCTTGAAATAAATATTTCTGAGTTCTGTATACCTCTGTGTTGTGTTTGTTTATTTTTATTTTTATTTTTTTTTTTTTGTTAGGAAGATAACTGAGCCTTTAATCTCCTTTGTAATAGATGTGCTTATAAATCAAGAGCAAGGCATTTATAGCTGTATTTATAAACTGCTTACTAATGACTATTAATGTTGGGACAAGGCTTTATAAAGGATGAACTGACTATTTAGTGCAGTTATTATAAAGTGTTACCCTCTGCTTTGTTTAACTTGCGTGAAGGCTGGACGTCGGAGTTGGTCAGCGCTTGCCTCAGACTCAACACAGTCCACTTCCCTATGGGCGGAATCGTTGGCCTGGCCGAACGATAGGAGGACGTCGGGGAGTCGGCTGGGGTTCTTGCCGGAGGTGGCGAGGGTAGGCCTCGGCGTCTTGGGAGGCGAGTGGCTGCTCGAGCCGTACGGCGCCCACGAGATGGGGCTTGGTTGCGGTGCCACGCGGGGAAGGAGTGGTCCTGGGGCCGGCTAGTTGCGGCGATGGGACTGGAGGAGAGTCGGAGTCGTCGTCAGATGGGGAGATTTGTTTTTGCGACATAGTAGCAGACGGGCGAACCAAAATGCTGATAAACCGTCGATGGATAGAGGTAAGTCTGCTGTATTTATACCTCTTGGTGTTGATAGCAGCGTTAGCTTCACAGAGTTCTTGGTTGTATATGAATGTCTCAAAAAAACGAGTGAGCTGTCTACCTAGACACCTTGTTTGTGAACCAAATTTGCTTTCAGAACGCGCATATGATGCCCAAAATGCCATCTAGGTAGGCAGCTCATTATGTTTTGAGAGCCTACAAAATATGTACCTCGGTATAGTGATGCATTTGGTGTTGATATTCTGGGTGGTGATGGCCTTCTCCAACTCCTCCAGCTGTCCTGTCTTCTTCAACTTCTTCACCAGACTCTTCACTGCCTTTTCACACCATTTCTCCTCCTGTCCGTTCTGCTCGCCCTTCTTCCAGCCCAACAGTCTCTTCACAATCGGAGGCGTGAAAGGTAATATAGACATCTTTAGTAAATCAACAACAGCTCCAAATATATTCCTTATCAGTGAACTACAAAGTCTTATGCGTTTAAAGACGTAGCGTCGATGGACCTGTGAAATGGCCAGATCAAAACGAATAGAAAGTTTATGCCCATAGAGTCAGATTGGCGGATGCTGTTCAGCCCCTCAAGTCTGTGGAAAGTGAACCGCACACAGATGAACTCCAGCGAGACCCAGTGCTGTCTGGACCCGCCCCTCCTCCTCCTCCCTACTCCTACTCCTTAGTTTAGACTTTAGATATTTTAGAAATAAAAACATTCATATCCAATGTGTTTCTAACATTCATTTATTCATTCATTGGGCAAAATAAAGATATAGGCCTAATACTTTTTAGTGTCAGTTTTAAAATTAATAATAATAAAAAAAAAGGCTACACATCAACACATCCTATAGGCTATGTGCAACACATTATTTATTTAGAAAAATACGATAAGATACATTTTTGTGTCAATTAAAAAATATATTCTATTCTATTCTATTCCACTCTATTCTATTATTATATTATATTACTACTGTCAGTTTTAACATAATATTATGATTACATGCACATTGTATAATTTAATCTTTTAAAGATTTAGAGATTTTAGAAATAAAAACATTCATATCCAGTGTGTTCCTAACATTCATTCATTCATTAGGCAAAATAAGTTTAAAATTAATTAAAACAATTATATTACAACACATCCTATATGTGTTTAACACATTTATTTATTTAGAAAAATGAGGTAAGATACATTTTTTGTGTTTAAAATTATATTATTAGGTATATTATATTAGGCTATATTATATTTTATTATATTATAACTACTACTACTGTCAGTTTTAACATAATATTATGATTATTTGCCCATTGTATAATTTAGTCTTTTAAAGATTTAGAGATTTTGGCAATAAAATCATTTGTACCAAAAACTGATATGATGCTATATGTCTTTAACTTAATTACTTATTTATTTGTTTGTTTGGAAAATATTATACATTTTAGTGTCAGTTTTAAAGTAAAATTTTTATATACATTTTTATCACATTAATATTGTCAGTTTTAACATATTACAATTATTTGAATATTACATAATTATCTTGTAAAGAAAAAAGTTTATTGTGTGATGAAAAATTATTCTTCAAACATGCCTAACACCAAATAATGATTTTCTAGCTTGGTTTTTAATAATCTTCAATACATGTTGATTTTATTTGTTTATTTTGTTTTTTCTTTTTGTTCATGCATTTAGTTTTATTTAAGCAACATGCCTCAGATTTGATGTAACTTCCTAAACATTCCATGAACCCGCTTTTTTAAGTTGTAGCACAAAACAAACAGAGGGGATGCTGAAAAGCTAGCAGAGTGTTTTGAGATACACAGCATTATTTGGACCTGAAACCCTGGCTGAAATAGTGTACAATGGTTCTAGACTCCAGACAGAGGTGGGAGGGGGCAGGGGCTGAGACAGCAGCAGTCCTGTGTGTACTTGCATACATATTCAGGCCTGTTGAGGCTTGCCCTCTGCAAGCACATACTGGGAATGTCCCGAATCAGTTCATGTTCATTCAGACGGCCGTCAATTCAAGCCAGCTGGAGGGAGTACAAGGGCTCTGGGTCCATTGAAATCCATCTCTGTCAGACATTCTCCTCTATGATACATTAATCGAGGCATCCTACGTTTGGTTGACTCAATTGCCTAAATCGGATAACCAATATATGACAAACTTTATCACCATCACTACTTAAATAACACCTGTTCCAATAAACCAAATCTCTGTAAAAGTGTCCCATAATTATTTCAACATTAAACAAATATTAAGCAAGACCGAATTCCCTGAAAACATTGCCTTATCACCCAGTGAAAGTCTCTAAAGTCACGTCCTATGAGAGTGACGTTCAACCTGACATAGTAAAGAGAATTGGTTGGTTGGCTGCCCGAGCATGTGAAGTGTCGACACATTCCCTTGTTTACAACCCACAATGCAAGGTCCTAAAATAGAGGACCCCTGTCAGGCTAACCCTTTGATCCCCCCAATAAAAGCGATTTAATTTCACCTTCAATGCATCCTGTGGAAATTGTTAAGGTGACTGGGGTGTGGGTATTTTTATCTGTTTGTGATCTGTTATTCATATGTACTGAATACCACCCCCATCCCCCTGGACAGATTTGTGCGTATGATATAAATAACTCTACCCAGAGGCCCATACTGATAGTCCCCTTTTCCTTTTATCTATTTTTATCTTACCATCAATGGACACCATGTAATAATTTCATGCTGGGCTCTGGCACGGTTTCATACCTCTTCAAGCAGGCCTAAAGAGAAACTCTGAAGTCAAATTATTCACAAGTAGCCACAAAACATAAACAATATGATTGTTAATAAGATATTAATGTGAATAAATCATTACTGACCTTTACTGTGTAATGTTATATCCAATTTGACACCTTCAATGCCAAGATGACATAATGCCTAAAATCCTAAAATGCCCATAAAAAATTAAGGGAACATCATTATAGCTCAAATAACACACAAGTTTTGATTATTAATGTAAGTGGTTTAAAAAAAATTGGCCTCATTTGCTTCCATTGTAAGTACCGCACTGAAACCTACATTTTTGCCTTTTTTAAAGAAAACATAGGACAAGTCAAAAAATTTTTTTTGTGGTATTTAACATTTCGCCACAAATGCTGTCAACTGAGCATCAAACACAGAATCATTTTTGAACAGTTCAGCCAAAACTAATGGTTTAAAGTTACCTTAATGGTAGATGAAATATTATTACAATTTAAAATAACTGTTTTCTAGTTTTATTTATTTTAAATGTGTCACATGATCCTTCAGAAATCATTCTTATATGCTAACCTGGTGCTCAAGAAATATTTCTTATTATTATCAATGTTGAAAACATATTTTTATGGAAACCATGATGCACAAAACTGATCTTGGTAACATCAAATTCATGTGTTTTTGGGAAGGGTGAGGAGGCAGCGCGTGCTACCATGTGCCGTCTGCTTCGGCCCGTACAAGCCCAGCACCTGTTTCCACCCCAGGGACTTCACCGGGACAGCTGGTACGGAGCGTGGACAGAGTGTCAGTGTGTGTGTGAGTTGGGGGCAGATGGGCCGAGGCCGAGCCTGATGGGAAAGCAGCAGAGTCTCATGTCCACGGCCAGAGTGAAAGATAGCTGTGGACAAAAGGCAGAGTGGATGGCCGAATGAGTAATGACCGCAGAAAATCCGATGGATAACAATGGCATTGTGCCGGACTCCACACTGGGTACATGGGAAGCAGTCTGGATTTGAGGGGGAGTGGGAGGATCACCTGGACTTTACACAATGGTGTGAATAGGAGGGGGCAAAGGATTATGGGGCTTTTGTGTAACCACAATAAAACTTAATAACACTGATGGAAACCTAAAAGCGATTGTGTGCGTTACTGTGAAAGTTTAGATAAGAGGTTTTCTTGTGATTGTCATCCATAGATCTATTTATCTCAGAAACAATTAGTAGCCTATATCCTGTTTAAAATATACCAAAGAAATGTGAAACATATTTTATGTTTTTTTTTTTTTTTTTTTTACATTTTTATTTTGCTTTTTTTTTATTTCAGT